TAAAGATAGAAATGAAGACGAAAGTGATGACGAAAATGATGACGAAAAGGATGAAGATAGAGATAGAAATGAAGCCGAAAATGATGACGAAAATGATGAAGATAAAGATAGAAATGAAGACGAAAATGATGAAGATAAAAATAAAGATGGTGATAAAGATGAAGATAAAGATAGAATGAAGACGAAAATGATGAAGATAAAGATAGAAATGATGACGAAAATGATGAAGATAAATATAGAAATGAAGACGAAAATGAAGACGAAAATGAAGACGAAAATGATGAAGATAAAGATAGAAATGAAGACGAAAATGATGACGAAAATGATGACGAAAAGGATGAAGATAGAGATAGAAAATGAAGCCGAAAATGATGACGAAAATGATGAAGATAAAGATAGAAATGAAGACGAAAATGATGAAGATAAAAATAAAGATGGTGATAAAGATGAAGATAAAGATAGAAATGATGACGAAAATGATGAAGATAAAAATAAAGATGGTGATAAAGATGAAGATAAAGATAGAAATGAAGACGAAAATGAAGACGAAAATGAAGACGAAAATGATGATGAAAATGATGAAGATAAAGATAGAAATGAAGACGAAAATGAAGACGAAAATGATGAGATAAAGATAGAAATGATGACGAAAATGATGACGAAAATGATGACGAAAATGATGAAGATAAGATAGAAATGAAGACGAAAATGATGAAGATAAATATAGAAATGAAGACGAAAATGATGATGAAAATGATGAAGATAAGATAGAAATGAAGACGAAAATGAAGACGAAAATGATGAAGATAAATATAGAAATGAAGACGAAAATGATTACGAAAATGATGAAGATAAATATAGAAATGAAGACGAAAATGATGACGAAAATGATGACGAAAATGATGACGAAAATGATGAAGATAAAGATAGAAATGATGACGAAAATGATGACGAAAATGATGACGAAAATGATGACGAAAATGATGAAGATAAATATAGAAATGAAGACGAAAATGATGAAGATAAATATAGAAATGAAGACGAAAATGATGAAGATAAATATAGAAATGAAGACGAAAATGAAGACGAAAATGAAGACGAAAATGAAGACGAAAATGAAGACGAAAATGATGAATGAAATGATGAAGATAAAGTGAAATGGACAAAATGATGGATAAAGATAGAATGAGACGAATGATGAAGATAAGATAGAAATGAAGACGAAAATGGTGATGAAATGATGATATAAAGATAGAAATGAAGACGAAAATGAATGAAGAAAATGATGAAGATAAGATAGAAATGAAGACGAAAATGATGAAGATAAAGAATAGAAATGAAGACGAAAATGAAGACAGAAAATGATGAAGATAAAGATAGAAATGAAGACGAAAATGAAGACGAAAATGATGAAGATAAAGATAGAAATGGAAGACGAAAATGAAGACGAAATGATGAAGATAAAGATAGAAATGAAGACGAAAATGATTAAAGATAAAGATAAAAATGATGACTAAAATGATGAAGATAAATATAGAAATGAAGACGAAAATGAAGACGAAAATGATGAAGATAAAGATAGAAATGAAGACGAAAGTGATGACGAAAATGATGACGAAAAGGATGAAGATAAAGATAGAAATGAAGACGAAAATGATGACGAAAATGATGAAGATAAAGATAGAAATGAAGACGAAAATGATGAAGATAAAAATAAAGATGGTGATAAAGATGAAGATAAAGATAAGGATGATGAAGATGAATAAGATGATAAAGATAAACATGAAACTGAAGATGAAGATGAAGATGAAAATGAAGCTGATGATAAACGTTTAAAGGAAACTGAACAAACAAGCAAACTTACATCAAAGAATTTCTTCGTCTTCATGGCTGCCTCGTCCACCTTATTCGCTAAATCGTCCTGATATTCCTTACAGCTGACGCCAGGATGCTGAGCCTTGAGGGGAGAAAACGAAACGCAGAGATCTACATCAAATATTCGTTATTTTTGTTATCTTATTTCTATACCTGTGTGTGCAGGTGTGTGTGTGTGGGTGTGGGTGTGTGTCTGTCGCTATCTCTGACTCTGTCTCTGTCTCTATCTATCTCTTTGTTTGTCTCTCTCTCTCTCTCTCTCTCTCTCTCTCTCTCTCTCTCTCTCACACACACACACACATTGCATACATGGAGATACGTACATAGTCTCTATCAGATCTCCGTAATTTGCTGAGCTTAAAATAGAGAACGAAACGCATAGCCCTACGTCAATCATTCGTAATTTCGTATATCATTTAATTATCTGTACCTAGTTTTGTATGTCTCTCATAATTATACATATGCAGATACGTGTATATTCTGTATTAGTCAAAATCCTTTGAAAAAAACATGTTATTCCTCCCCTTGACTGAATAATCATTATCAGTTAATGAAGTTAATAATTCAAAGATTTAATTCGGTCTTACATATTCTCGAGTAATTACTGTAACTCAGATAATTGGTA